GCCAGAGCCTGCCTAGGAGCACCGCGCTGGGGCAGCCAGGCACAACTTGCCAGCAGGCCGGTCTGCCCGGTGGTGGTGGCAATCCGAATGCTCCTCCGAAGTCAGCCCCGCTTTGAATGTTAGATTAGTTTCATTTCATTAGAAGCAGCAACCCCCCCCCCCCAATTCTTGGCAGTGGGACTGAATACAATGGAGGCCATGACAAGAGGTCACAAAAGCCTTAAGGGCCAGGGTGGCTGGCATCAGAAGAGAAGAGAGAAGAAGAGATTGGATTCATACGCCGCCCTTCACTCGGAGTCTCAGAGCGGCTTACAAACTCCTTTCCCTTCCCCTCCCCACAACAGACACCCTGTGAGGTAGGCGGGGCTGAGGGAGCTCTGACAGAAACTGCTCTTTTTCAAGGACAGCTCTGACAGAACTATGGCTTGCCCCAGGTCATCCAGCAACTGCAAGTGGAGGAGTGCGGGAATTAAACCCGGTTCTCCCAGATTAGAGTCTGCGCACTTAACCGCTACACCAAACTGTTATCATGGGGCTCAGACCAAGGTGAATGCAGAAATATTCATGGGCAGCAACCAAACTAGGCATCCCGCTGGAAGCAGGCTGAACCTCGAGTCCTGTGATTTGTTTTTGCCATAGGCTGAGGCTATGCACTGGCGACCATGGAGAAGATGCGTTCTGGGTGTCCAGAGTCTGGGAACACAGCCTTATCCCTAGACGCAACAGATTCTTTTAATGTACCAATCTTTGGGTTCCCAGTTGGTTGCACTTCTGCAAACACTGTCATCAGCCACTAGCAGTCCCTGGGCCAAAGGCATGCTCAGGAGAGGGTCATCTGCCTCCCCAGTTGCAAATCCCAGAAGGAAACGTTGAGTGAGAATGAGGAACACCTGGTCATCAGGTGAGGGGACATTGGCCCATTCCCACTGTTTGGCCATGCATGACCCCGAAATCAAAATAGTAACTCTAGGATTCAAAAATGAGTTCAATGGCTGTAACTCTGTTTAGATTGCCCTGTGAGACTCAAAAGTCAGATCCACTCTGGCTCGACCACTTATCTTCAAAATGGCACATCTAGATATGTGCAAACAGGTAAAAGAAGCAGGCCAGGACCCCAAATCCAGGGTGATGGTCAGGGGTCATTTAGTAGAAAAAGAGGTGCTGGAGCTCATTAGCATAACTCATTAGCACAACCTATTTGCATATGCCACACACCCCTGACATCACCGGAAGTGTGTCAGAAGGCAACACCCACCGCTCAGGCTCCACTGGACTCTTTTGGATTGCTAGCTATTGGGGGGGGGGAGAACATGCAGATCTGCCGTCTCAGAGGAGGGAGAGCTTGTACCTGAAGGTGGGCTGGGGGGAGGGAATCTGCAGCTTACCTGGCTGCTTCTTGCTCCTCGCGACCTGACTGAGGGCTGCTGGGAGCAGGGGGTGGGGCTTGTTGCATGTGCCCACCCCCTGGGCTCCTTACTGCCAGAGCTCCGCTCCTGTGTGCTCCCGCAGGAAATGACCCCTGGTGATGGTAGACTTCACGTTTCTAGGACTCTATAAGCCATCCCCCTGCACCTGAACAGCTCCATCTCATCACGACAAAATGGTTTTTTTAGAGAACAATGATGAATTCTGTGGTTGCTCCAGAAACAAGAATGGTTTTAGGTTGGGGTGTTGTGAGCTTCCCATCCCATCCATGTTCATTGCCGGTATTGTCACTTCATGGATGCAGTTGCACCATTTATACACCATTGACTCACGACTCAGACTGAAAAATAATACATTTAATGGAACTGAAATCTGGCTCAAAATAAATGGCACAAAAGGGAAACCTCCCAGGTCCACTTCGCATTTGGAGATGACAACATCAACATGGAACATGTTACCATGAGCCACCAGAGATTAGAAAGCCGATAAGATCCAAATCTGTGATATGAAGAACTCTCGTTTTCCTGTTCTTAAAGTTTGCGCTGCTAGGACTGGATTCCAGGAACACAGTTTCCAGCTGGAATCTGCATCTCAGAGCATGAACAGGTGTATCAGAGTTCATTTTGGGTTGTTATGGGGAAGGACTCTGTGGCAGAGTATCTGTTTTGCATTAAAAATTGTCCCATGTTCAGTCTAGGACATACCCAGTTAAAAGTATGCAGCAGGTAATGGGAAAGACATCTCTGAGACTCTGAAGACCCACTGTTAATCAGGACAGACAGGGCCTTTTTTCTGGGGGAACACGCTGAAATGGAGTTCCGGAACCTCTTCAAAAAAATGCTTTTAATTTTTTAAAAAATGTTCAAAAGTTCATGAGTTTTCAGTATACAGATACACGAGTTCCGGCACCTCTCTTTCCCCAAAAAGCCCTGAGAACAGACAATACTGACGATAGCCCAGTAAATCTCTAAGGTGGCGTCATGTGCTCAAATAAAGAAATAACATTATAGCTGTAATCAGGGGCCATTTCGTAGAAAAAGAGGTGCAGGAGCTCATTAGCATAACTCATTAGCATAACTTATTTCCATATGCTACTCCCCCTGGCATCACCGGGAGTGTGTCAGAAGGCAGAGGTCATTTTGGGGGGGAACGCGGGGAATTGCAGTTCCCCCGGGTGAGGTGCACACGATGAAGCCCCGCCCCTTGCTTCCGGCTGCCCCGCTTCCAGCCCTCATTCAGCCAGGAGGAGGCAGGAGAAGAGGGAGGGTAAGTTGCTTCCTCCCCGCCTCTCCCCACCCCTGCCTGCCTGGGGCCAGGGAGGGCCTTGGCGGGGCTTCCTCGCACTCCTGCTGGCCTTGCAGCTATTGAGGGGGGGGGGGAAACGTGCAGATCTGTCCTCGCAGAGGAGGGAGAGCTTGTACCTGAATAAAACTTGCTCTTAAAGGTGCCACTGGACTGTTTTGGACTGGGGGGTCGGGGGGCTCTGCAACTTACCTAGCTGCTTCTTGATCTGACTGAGGGCTGCTGGGAGCAGGGGGTGTGGCTTGTTGCATGTGCCTGTCCCCTGGGCTCTTTACTGCCGGAGCTCTGCTCCTATGTGCTCCTGCAGGAAATGACCCCTGGCTGTAATAATAAAGCTTGATCCTCAAGCACAAGCCATACCTGCAGTTACCAACTTTCCCACTAGTCCCTGATAGGGCTGCCTCATTTCCTGCCACAGGGCACAGCCTGCCACACACTCTGAGGGGCCCCCACCACTTCATGGACAACTGAAGCAAAAATGGGGTGGAGGGAACTGGCCCTACTTGATGCTGTGTGGGCTCTTTTTGTAGCAGGAACTCCTTTGCATATTAGGCGACACACCCCTAATGTAGCCAATCCTCCAAGAGCTCACAGAGCTCTTCTTACAGGGGCTATTGTAAGCTCTTGGAGGATTGGCTACATTAGTGGTGTGTCACCTAATATGCAAAGGAGCTCCTGCTACAAAAAGAGCTCACTGGCATCACTTCCAGTTGTGTACCCAGAAGAGATGTCACAGCGTTACACGATGCTCTAGGATTGTCCCAAATCTTTATGGGTTTCACTACAGAGATCTGGGAGATTCCTTCAACCTCATGCCAGGTGTACAACTGGACGTGACATCGTGGCATTGCATGATGCTGCTTTCTGCTGCCTCTGCCCCCAAACGCTCCTGTGGTTCTTCTAGCCCCTGAGACTGTCCAATTTACAACAAGGGGGTCTGGAAGGAATTGCTTTTATCTGTGGATCATGAAAAGCTTCAGTTGCTCATTCTTGCTGTCGAAACTTAGGGGCAGGGTCACCCTGACCTGGATAGCCCAGGCAAGCCCAATCCCATCAGATTTCAGAAGCTAAGCAGGGTTGACTCTGGCAAGTACTTGAATGGGAGTCCTCCTTGGCAGGCGAGAGGACAGGGGCAGGCTTCATTCAGCCACCTCTCTGAATATCCTCCAGACCCCCAGTTGGGGTCAGTCACCAGAGGTTGCCATGACTTCCAGGTGCACACACACTCACATGCACACATGCACACATAAAAATACATTTTTTTTTTACAAAATACAAAAATTAAGGGCATGGTCACATGTAACCTCCCCCTAAGACTGACTTCTTGAAAGTATTTGGGTGGAAATCAGTACTGGAATCAACCTTTCTTTCTATCTGAAGAAGCAAGCTCACAAAAGCGCCTACCAATTTTGTTACTTTTCAAGGGGCCACTGGACTCTTGCTCTTTTCTACTGCTACAGACAGACTAACACGGCGACCCATCTTGGTCTATCATCCTCCTTCTACCATTTGGCAACCTGACTGCAGCCAGGGGCGAAATGTACAGGGATGAAAACCGCCACTGTGACTTCCTATGGAACAAAAGCAAAATAGTCTTTCCCCTTCTTTGCAATCCCTACTTCTGTAGCTTCATTGTCAGTAAGAAATATCATCTATCAAACCTCAGACAAAGGGGGAAATATCATGTGAAATCAGAGAACTTTTCTCCGAAATTGGTCACAGTTTTTTTTAATCCTGCCCTTATTTTGAGGGGTTCAAGCCCCACCTACCTCACAGGGTGTCTGTTGTGGGGAGGGGAAGGGAAAGGAGTTTGTAAGCCGCTCTGAGACACCTTTGGGTAGTGAAGGGCAGGGTATAAATCCAATCTCTTATCTTCTTCTTCTTCTTCTAAATGACAGAGTAAGGATTTGAATGATGGCTTCCCAGAAACTAGACCAACGCTCTAACCACTACGCAACCCTGACTCTGCGTAATACGGCTTCAGTCAGAGTCATTTCAATGAAATGGATTTAGGTCTCTCTCGCCTGTACAGCCTTCATTGTAGCACGGGTCATCTACAAGCAGAATGAAGCCAGACATTTAAGCAACTTCGTATTTGATGCCTGTAAACCCCCCCCCCCAAGATATGCACGCAAGATACCAATGTTAATGCAACACAAACAAACAAAAACAAAATATTTAAAACATGCAGTTGTGAGTATACCGCTCCAAATCCAAAACTGGAGTGAAGAAATGTAGACACTGGCATCTATTCACAAAAATCTGTTCTGAGTCTAGTCCTCCATATGTCCTTGGAACTTGGTGCAGTATGCTTCTCTCTCAGTGTTCAGTGTGCTGACTTCCCAGATCTTTGCAGCGTGGCCACAGGAGGAGGAGGATTCAGTGGGTGCGCCAGTCCCTCCCGGTCCACTTGAAGTAGATAATCCGACAGCTCCTGCTCCTTCATCATTGTCTCTGGGCTCCTTGCAGCAAGGCAAAGAGCAGCATGATAAAACTGGCCGGACTCGGCGGTACAGGCCAGCCCAGCAAACACTGACGTTCTGTCGGATGGCGTTGGACGAGAAGAAGAAGATGAAAGGATCCAAGCAGGTGTTGAAGGAGGTGAGGGCAAAGGCATATTCTCTCCAGCTAGGGTCTTCGTAATAGATCACTCCAAAGATGTGGGAGATGTTAAAGGGGCCAAAGCAAAGAGCGTAATTGAGCAAAGTGAACAGAGCCAAGCCCATGGCCCTTTGTTTCTTGCGGGCCTTGACATTAGGCAGGGAGGCCAGGATGCGGATCACGTTGACGTAACAGAAGAAGGTGATGGCGAAAGGGATGCAGAAGAGGACAATGCAGATTTCGAGCCGGAAGGGGTAGATGATCCTCTTCTGCTGCTCGTTGAATGCCCTGAAGCACACCACGTGGTTGGAAGGGCGCTGGGAAGACGGGATTGAATCATTGCGGAGGGACCTCACGATGAAGACAGTGCCACAGTGGGAGGCGACAAATATCCAGATGAAGATGCTGGCCATCACCGCGTAGGCTGCCTTGCGTTTCAGCCTGTACTGGATGGGAAACGACACCCCCAGGTAGCGGTCCACACTGATGGCCGTGAGGAAAAGGGTGCTGATGGATTGGCTGCTGTGGAAGGTGCAGCTAGTGATAGTGCAGAGGGCCCTGTGGAAAGGCCACATGTTGTTTTGGGCAGCCTCCACCATTTTGAGGGGAAGGAAAACCAGGAGGATGATGTCTGCCAAAGTCAAGTTGAGCAAGAGGATGTCTATGGGGGCTGGCTTCTTGCGGACTTTCATTAAGAATGTGTAGAAGGACAGGAGGTTGGAAGGGAAGCCAAGCAGGAAGGTGATGACGTAGATAACAAGAATAACTGTGAGGTTGGTCATCGTCCCAGCTTCTGTAAAGGGAAGGAAACAATAATTAGATACGGAACTAGGTCAGGAGACACGTTTCTGAATTCTCAAGGGAAGTCTACAGTTTCAGGCTTCCCCCACCAATGATGGGGAAATTTAGTTCCGTAGGAGAAAAACAAGGGAAGGTGAATGATAGGACATCATATACAGTGGCATTTTTCAGTCCTTCCACTTTCAGTTTGGTGTAGTGGTTAAGAACAGTGGACTCTAGTTTGGAGAACTAGGTCTGATTTCCCACTACTCCATGTGCAGCTGCTTGGTGACCTTGGGTCAGTCACAAATTCTCTCAGGGCTGTTTCCTCAAGAGCAGTTTCTCTCAGTGCTCTCTCAGCCCCACCTACCTCACAGGGTGTCTGTTGTGGGGAGGGGAAGGGAAAGGAGTTTGTAAGCCGCTCTGAGACTCCAGAGGTATAAATCCAATCTCTTCTTCTTCTTTCAGGGGACACTTCCAACATCAGTTCATCTGTCATGAAACCCCAGCATGATGCAGAGGATTCTGGGTGATGTTCTAGGTCAGCTTCTCTGTCATTGTCCTATTTAGCGGATTCTTTATTATTAACACATGCAAACAGAGAATGCAATCTAGAATATAGTTCATACTCTTCTGTGGCTGGTCATGGCAAGGAAAGTTTAGTTATTATAGCTAACCCAGTTTTCAGACTGCCACATGGTGAATTACTTGAGAGTCTACTGCAAGATTCCCAGGAACACAGACTACTGAAAAACATTTTCCCACTTAAGTGACACCTATTGCTAATAATGATTATTACAGAGGTGTAGTTGTGTTGGTCTGTAGCAGTCAAAATAACAAAGGAATCCAGTGGCACCCTAAAGTGTAACAAAATTCTCACTTCATCAGATGCATAAGGTGTACATCCATCTAGTTTATTTGGTGTAGCCAGTTTGGTGTAGTAGTTAGGAGTGCAGACTCTAATCTGGGAGAACCGGGTTTGATTCCCCACTCCTTCACATGCAGCTGCTGGTGTGACCTTGGGTCAGTCACAGTTCTCTCAGAGCTGTTCTCTCAAGGGCAGTTCTTGAAAGAGCTCTCTCAGCCCCACTTACCTCACAGGGTGTCTGTTGTGGGAAGAGGAAGGAGATTGTAAGTCACTCTGAGAATCCTTCAAGTAGTGAAGGGTGGGGTATAAATCCAATCTCCTCCTCCTATACACAATAGAATTGTGGGTGAGTATGCTATACAGAGAGGCCTGAGTTGAACAAGATCCAACTCAAAGAACACCCAGTTCTCTCAGAGAGGGTCTGAGACACGGCTGTTGGTACATAAGTAAAAAACAAAATCTAATGTTATGAAAGAAGTGGGATATGTAAGATGTTAGCACCAATAGCAAGCTAGGAAGCTCAGCTCTCCAATAATCCATAGGAGATATATATATATTCTCATATTTGATAATGAATTCTGATTCAGCGGTGTCACATTGGGTTCTGCCTTTGAAGTTTCTTTGTAAGTCAATTCTAACTTAAAGATAAGAACAGAATGCCCTTCAACATCAAAATGTTTCTCCAAGAAGTTCCTGAATATTAGGATTTTTAATAGTAGAAAAGACCTTTAACAAAATTTGTGGCAGGGTATGAACTTTTGTGAGTCACTGCTCTTAATCTATCTCCGTGGAAGGATTTTTAATATCATATTTATGTCTGCATATTCTTTTGCATTGGGGCTGACTTGTTTGTCCTATACAGAGTGTGGAGACACAATGTCCCTTTCCTCATTCTCCTTTTAATCCATGTTCACTGTGGTGTCCTCTAAGCAATTCTGCACTAAAATGGAATTCAATCTTCTTTTTATTCTGCCCCCCCCATTCTGTGCTAAAATTGAATACAACCTGATGGTATATCTTACCCTGGAGGGTGAGGAAGTGAATGAGCCTGAAATGTGTAGCTGATGTTAGCTTTTGATATGTTAAGTGATTCTGTCACTGGACCTAAGAACATCAGCTATACCAAGCTGGTCTCATTGACTTGTGCATCCTCCAATACAATGTATACCATTTTATGTCATCATTGGACTTCTATATTCCACAGTGGGAAAACATGTCAGCCCCTACACTTGGGTGAGGGATACAGTCCCTGCGAATTCCATCACAATAAGGAATGGAAACTCATTTTCCACAGTGTTTTCCATTAAATGAATGCCCATGAGATCAAAAATACAATTATCAGCCTGAACACATGACATAATAATATTTAGGAACCAAAACAAATGTTTTAATGGGCAAAATGAATCAGTTGATATGCATATCCTGAAGGTTCAGGGTCTCAAGTTTCTACCCAAGACCATTGCCTTAAAACTGACCAAGTGAATAGTTTCAGTGTATCCTTCACAGTCAGATTTTAAAAGTGAAATCTGAAATGCTATGTGAAATTGTTAACGTTTGATTATGATTTGGGAATTTCAGTGTGCAAAATTTCATTCTAGTTGGCATGGTACAGAGGGAAGTTATAGGACTTTTCTCCCTTTCTCGTGGGCACTCAATGAAATTGCTGAGCAGTCAATTTAGAATGGATAAAAGGAAGTACTTCTTCACCCAAAGAGTGATTAACATGTGGAATTCACTGCCACAGGAGGTGGTGGCAGCTACAGGCATGGACGGCTTCAAGAGGGAATTGGATAGACATATGGAGCAGAGGTCCATCAGTGGCTGTTAGCTACAAGGTATAGATAGGAACTCTCAGGCTGGTGCAAGTGATGCTCTGTATTCTTGGTGCTTGGAGGGGGGGTCAACAGTGGGAGGGCTTCTAGTGTCCTGGCCCCACTGCTGGACCTCCTGATGGCACCTGGTATTTTTGGCCATTGTATGACAGAGTGTTGGACTGGATGGGTCGTTGGCCTGATCCAATATTGGCTTCTCTTATGTTCTTATGTTCTCTTATGTTCTTATGTCACTAGGGATGCGTGCCTCAAAAAATCTTGGTATTTTTCAGATCTGGGTATCAGGAAGATGAAAAATATCACTATTCCCAGTTATCCAGGTTAGAAATACTGGTCTGGTATTTGGACCTGGGGTTTCCCCCCCCTAGATTTAGATTATTCAGCTCTAATATTCCCTACAGGAAATCTTTCCAGAAGGCTGGAGGGGCTGTTTTGTTGTTGTTGTTGTTCCTGCCTTTCAAGTAACCCCCAAGGGTCAAGTGAATTGGGCTAAGAGGACCAGTTCTAAGGGCCCCTAAACGAGGAGCCCCCAGCCATCCTCCATCATTTCCTATGGAGGAGGGAATTCCATGCTTTTTCCAGGGCAAAGAATAGCCAAAGATACCAAGAATAGCCCAAGATAGCTAAAGTCCTGCTGTACACTGCATTGGTCAGGCCTCACCTGGACTATTGTGTGCAGTTCTGGAGGCCTCCCTTCAAAAAGGATGTGGACAGAATGGAGCGTGTGCAGAGGAGAGTGATGAGGGTGATCAGGGACCTATGAGGAAAGGATGAGGGACTTGGGAACATTTAGTCTGGAGAAGAGGAGGTTGAGGGAGGACATAATTGTTCTCTTGATGTATTTGAAGGGCTGTGTCACTTAGAGGAGGGCAGGGAGCTGTTCCTGTTGGCAGCAGAGGACAGGATTTGCAGTAATGGGCTTAAATTAAGGATGGGAAGGTACTAGATGGATATTAGGAAAAACGTTTTTACCGTAAGAGTTGTTCAACAGTGGAATCAGCTGCCTAGGGGTGGTGGTGAGCTCCCCCTCACCGGCAGTCTTTAAGCAGCGGCTGGACAAACACTTGTTTGGGATGCTGTAGGCTGATCCTGCTTTGAGCAGGGGGTTGGACTAGATGGCCTGTATGGCCCCTTCCCACTCCGTGAACTATGATTCTATACAAGAGCAAGTAAAGCAACCCCTAGGCACAATCCTCTCAAAGCAGGGAGAACCAACAAGCCCCTAGAAGTCCCAGCAGAAGCACAGGACATTCTGGCAAGTCTAACACAAGAAACGCACAACCTGAGAATCCAACCCAATGTCAAACCAGAGAATTGTCCAAGCCAAAGTGAGTGGGAATGCTGTTGCAAGTCCAACAAAAGTAAAACCACAGAATCTGAACCAAGGTACAACCTGAGAATCAAAGGCAATGCTGAACCCAAGAATCCAGCACCAAACTCTAACCCGAAGCCCACAATGTTACAAGACCAACAAAATCAATTTCAAAGGACAGTATCCAAGCAAAACCAACCCGGCAAGCTGATACCAAGCCCTGGGAAGACACAGACACACAGAAAAAAGAAAGACCGATTTCCCATAAGCTGCTGCTCCATGCTCGCTCTTCCCTTTGCCGTGATCGTACATGTCAATTTCACACTAAGTGCTGCGCGGCCGCATCTGCCCCGCAGCTTCGCCCGGTTTTTCCCACATCTACTCAGTCCTCAAAAAAACAGGATTGAGTAGACGCGGGGGAAATCGGGCGAAGCTGTGGGCAATTGACACGTACGATTGGGGCAAAGGGAAAAGCAAGCATGGAGTAGCACCTTGTGGGAAATCGGTCAAAGATTTACTGTCTCTATCTCTATCTGTCTGTCTGTACACACACACACACACACATTTTGGACTGGATATATCCAAATATATCCATTCTAATCTAATGGAGAGGGAATATGGCCCTGGAGTAGAGTGCATTCTTTGCATACAAAAACTCCCAGACTAAATCAGAAGCATCTCCAGGTGAAGGACATGAGAACAGAAGGAGAGCCCTGCTGGATCAGACGAATTGTCCATCTAGTCCAACATTCTGCCTCACACAGTGGCCAACCAGTTCATCTGGAGGGCCAAGAACAGGGCATAGAGGTCAAGGCCTTTCCCTGATGCGTCCTCCTGGCTATGAGATTCAGAGGATTGGTGCCTCTGAGCGTGGAGGTTCCTATCAGTCACAATATCTTTAGCCGTTGATAGACTGATCCTCCATGAATCTACCTAATCCCCTTTTAAAGCTGTTTATTGCTGTGGCCATCACGACATCCTCTGGCAGTG